AAAATAGAAGAAAATGTGAAATATCTCATAGGAAAAACAACTGACCTGAAAAATAGATCAAGGAGAGGTAATTTAAGAATTATCAAACTACCTGGAAGCTATGATCAAAAAAAGAACCTAAGCATTATATTTCAAGAAGTTATCAAGGAAAACTGCCCTGATATTCTAGAACCAGAGGTAAAAATAGAAATGGAAAGTATTCACTACTCACCTCCTGAAAGAAATCCCAAAATGAAAACTGTCAGTTATATTATAGCCAAATTCCAGAGTTCCCAGGTCAAAAAGAAAATATCGAAAGCAACTAGAAACAAACAATTCAAATATCATGGAGCCACAATAAGGATTACACAAAATTTAGCAGCTACTACTCAAAGGAATGAGGGACTTGGAATATAACATTTTGGAAGGCAAAGAAGCTAAGATTACAACAAAGAATAACCTACCCAGCAAAACTGAGTGTAATCCTACAGGGGGAAAAATGGAAATTTAAGGAAACAGAGTCTTCCAAGCATTCTTGATTTAAAAGACCAGGGCTGTAAAAAAAAATTTGACATTCAAACACAAGACTCAAGAGAGGAATAAAAAGGTAAACATGAAGGAGAAATCATAAAGACCTTAATAAAATTAAACTGCTTACATTCTTGAATGGGAAGATGATACATGTGAATCCTAAGAACTTTATCACAATTAGGGCAGTTAGAAGGAGTCTACTTAGACAGAGACGGTGGGCATGAGTCTATTATGTTAAGATGATCTCAAAAGAAAAATGGAAAGGTGAGAAAGAGGGATGCACTGGGAGATGAGAATAGGGAAAGGAAGAATAGGAAAAATTATCTCACATAGGTCAGTTGGTTGGTTGGTTGTTGTCCTTTGTTCTTGAAGAGGTCCAAAATGACATCCCTATGTTGGGGTCAAGGAACAATGTGTCTGACTGTGGCTGATCAGACCAATGCGAGCTTAGAAGACTCAACCACAGGTCAGGCACTAATAGTGCGTATGAACATTTAGAGTTCAGACATCTCTAAATTTGTGCATCTCATATCTTTTGAACTACTGCAGTTCTGCTTTGCTCAGAGAGAGCAACACCTTCTTTGATGTGGGTACACCATGCTGGGTTCTCCTGTGCCAGTGTCTCCCATGTCTCATAACTGATAAAGTTCTTCCAAGAGACCTTGAGAGTGTCTTTATAGGCTTCTTCTGTCCTCCATGTGAGCACTTGTCTTGTGTGAGTTCCCTTTAGGGAAATGTACTTTTGGTATTTGAACAATGTGGCCAGCCCATCTGAGTTGCACTCTCTTGTGGTAGAGTTTGAATGCTTGGCAGTTCAGCTCAAGAAAGGACTTCAGTGTCCTGTACCTTATCTTGACAGGTGATCTTCAGACTCTTCCTAAGACAATTCAAATGGAAGCAATTAAGTTTCCTGGAATGGTTCTGGTATACTGTCCATATTTCACAGGCATAAACAATGAGGTCAGTACAACAGGTTGGTAGACCTTCAGTTTGGTAGACAGTCTAATACCCTTTCTCTTCCACACTTTCCTTCAGTAAATTATTTAACTTGAAAAGGCTACAAGCAAAGACTAAAGTGGAGGGAAAATGGGTGTGTGACTTTTTGTTCACAGGTGATTGTGCACTCAATGCAGCCTCTGAGACTGAGATGCAACAAAGTATGGATCGATTCTCCACTGCTTGTGCCAATTTTGGCTTAACAATTAACACCTAGAAAACAGGGGTTCTCCAATAGCCAGTGCCACATCATCCATAGGTGAAAACATCAGTTACAGCAAATGGAGACATTTTGACTCCTGTGGATAAAGTTCACTTACTTTGGCAGTATATTTTCCAGGCACATACACATAGATGATGAGATTGATGCACACATTGCCAGAACTTTCTCAGTATCTCACATAAAGAAGTACCCAAGGAAAAATTTTTATAATGGAGAGGAAAATAGTGGGGGTGGGTAATGTCTGAACCTCATTTTCCTTTGTACTGGTTTAAAGAGGAAAGAAAAAATACATACACACATAGACACACACATATACAGTTGGGTATAGAAATTCATCTTACTCAAAGTAGGAGGGGAAGGGGACAAAAGAAAGGGGAAATGGTAAGAGGGAAGGCAGATTAAGGGAAGTAGTGGTCAGAAGCAAAACAGACTTTTGAGGAGGGGTCAGGGTGAAAACAAAGGGAAGGAAGAAAATAGGATGAAGAGAAATACACAACTAGCAAATCAATAACTGTGAATACAAATGGAGTAAATTTACTCACAAAAAAAGTGTATAGCAGGATGGATTAGAAATCAGGTAGAAATATGTTGCTTACAAGAGACACACTTGAAATAGAAAGCCACATGTAGAGTTAAAATAAATGTCTGGAGCAGAATCTATTATGCTTCAGTTCAAGTAAAAAAGGCAGGGGTAGCAATCATGATCTCAAAGAAAAAGCAAAAACAGGCCAAGTTAAAAGAGAAAATTAGGGAAACTACATTTTGCCAAAAGGTACCATAGACAATGAAGTAATATAATATTAAACATATATGAACTAAATGGCATTTCTTGAAGGAAATGTTAAGTTAATTGGAGAAGGAAACAGATAGTACAACTATACTAGTGGGGGACTTCAATTTATCCCTCTCAGATCTAGATAAATCTGACCATAAAATAAATAACAAAGAAGTTAAGGAATTAAATAGAATTTTAGAAAAGTTAGATATGATAGATCTCTGAAGTTTACTGAATAAGAAAAGAAAGGAATATACCTTCCTCTCAAATGTATATGGCACCTTCACAAAAATTAGCCATGTATTAGGTCATAAAAACCTCACAACCAAATGCAGAAAAGCAGAAATATAAAATGAACTCTTTTCAGACCATAATGCAATGAAAATTACATTCAATGAAGGTACATGGAAGCATAGATTAAAAAAAATAATTGGAAGCTGAATAATCTAATGATAAAGAATGAGCAGGTCAAAAAACAAATAATAGAAATAATCAATAATTTCATTAAAGATAATGACAAAAATGAGACAACATGCCAAAATTTGTGGGATGCAGCCAAAGTAGTACTTAGGGGAAGTTTATATCTCTAAACACTGAAATCAATAAAAGAAAGAAAGCAGATAAATGAATTGGCCATGTAACTAAAAAAAAAAAGAAAAAGAACAAATTAACCTCCTCCCCAATTAAATACCAACATAGAAATCCAGAAAATCAAAGGAGAGATTAATAAAATTTTAAGTAAAGAAAAATTGAACTAATAAGTGAAACTAGAAGCTGATTTTATGAAAAAAAATAAATAGACAAACCATTGGTTAACTTCACTAATAAAAAAAGAAAAAGTATAAACCAAATTACCAGTATCAAAAATGAAAAGGGTAAATGTGCCACCTATGAAGATGAAGTTAAAGCAATTTTTAGGAGTTATTTTGTCCAATTATGTACCAGTAACACAGGCAATCTAAGTGAAATGAATGAATATTTACAAAAATATAAATTGCCCAAATTAACAGAAGAGGAAATAGAATAGTTAAATAAACTTCTTAGAAAAAAAAAATGATTAAGTCATAAATTAGCTCCCTAAGAAAAAAATCCCTAGGGCTAGATGGATTAACAAGCAAATTCCAAATATTCAAAGAACAATTAATTCCAACTATTCCAACATTTAAACTATTTTCAAAAATAGGTGAAGGAATGTTACCAAATTCCTTCTATGACACAAATACGGTTTTGACACTTATACTAGGAAGAGAAAAAACAGAGAAAGAAAACTATAGACCAATTTCCCTAATTAATATTGATGCAAAATTTTTTAAAAATACTAGCAAAGGGACTATAGCGATATATTATGAGATCATACAATATATTGGATTTATACTAGAAATGCATGGCTCAATATGAAGAAAACTATAAGCATAACAGACCTCGTCAACAACTATTACAACAAAAATCATATAATTATATAATAGATGCAGAAAAAACTTTTGATTAAGATAACACACCCATTCCTCTTAAAAACACTAGAAATCAGAGGAATAGGTGGAGCTTTTCTTGAAATGAAAAGTAGTATCTGTCTAAAACCAAGAGTAAGCATTATCTATAATGGGGATAAACTAGAAGCTTTCCCAATAAGATCAGGAGTGAAGCAAAGATGACCATTATCACTACTATTATTCAATATTGTACTAGAAATGTTAGCAGTAGCAATGAAAGAAGAAATTGAAGGAATCAGAATAGGCAATGAGGTAATAAAACTATCACTTTTTGCTGATGATGTCATGGTATATTTAGAGAACCCAACAGAACTGAATAAAAACTAATTAAAACAATTAACTTTAACAGAGTTGCAGGATATAAAATAAATCCATATAAATCATCAGCATTTCTATATAGCATCAACAAAACCCAGCAGTAAGAGATAGAAAGATATAATCCATTTAAAATAACTGTAGACAGTATAAAATACTTGGGAATCTATCTGCGAAGACACCCAATAGAACACAATTACAAAACATTTTTCACAGAAATACAAATCTGAACAGTTGGAAAAATATTAATTGCTAATGGATAGGCCAAGACTATATAACAAAAATTACAACATTCTCTAAATTAATGTGCCTATTCAGTGCCATAGCAAATAAAATACCATGGATAGTTTTGATTACATGAAGTTAAAAATTTTTAGTACAAACAAAACTAATGCAGACAAAATTAGAAAGAAAGCAGGAAACTGGGAAATACATTTTACAGCAAGTTTCTTCAATAAAGGTCTCATTTGACAAATATATAGGAAATAGGTCTTTTTTTTTAATGAATGGCTAAATTTCAGTCACCTCATATTTATACAACTGATTTTAAAAATCTAAGTGTAGAACTTTACATTTATTCCTATGAAATTTCATTTTTTTCATCTACTAAAACATGGAGGTGATATGTCGCTGGAAAGTATGCCCACATGAAAACATGGATCTTTCCAAGTATTGAAGAAGTAAATTTTACCTTTTCAGAAGTCTTGATTGAAATTACTTAGGGTTGTTGAGTACAGGTACTTGAGGCATTATGTGAAAAAAGAAGAGCCACAATTAATAACACACCCTCCAAAGAAAGGCAAAACACTTAATGATTTGGTCAAATTGCTTTCATTTATTTCAATCAACATATGCACTATAATCCTGTTATTTTACATAATTTGTTTAATCACGTGATTCCTTAACAGAGAAATGAAAGCTTTACTCTGATTCCCACATCATACAATGGAAATGATCCAAGTTCCTTGAGATATACAATAGAGAATGCCTAGCCTAACATCTTAAACTACTCAGAATAATATTACCATCCTTAGGATGGTGTCTCACGATATAGCTTCTTCTCAAGTCTCTGATCATTACTGTTTGAGGCTTTGCTTTTGCTCAGACTCAATTGATATTAAAGCACTGACCATTCTGTCACAATCAAAATGGCATCTTGAGCTTGGTATGGTCTACTTTCAAGAGGAACTTAACCAATAAACTCTTTGCTGATGTGACAGAGGCCAAGTTTATGTAAATATATGAATATACTGAAGTCACACTTTAGTGTTTAAGTTTCAGTATATCTTAGCCTTAGTCCACTTTTCCATCCCCCAAACAGTCCTCCTCTCCCCGCCCCAGCCATCCCTCACTCCAGTAGAACATAAGCTCTTGGAGAGAAACTGACTATATTGGTTTTTATTTTGCATCTGATGTGAGCAAACTTAGACCTCTGACAATAAGCATACAATCTAAAGGCCTAGCACATAGTAGATATTAAAATAATAATAAATAACATTAACAAAGCACTTTAAAGGTTTTCATTGTGTGAGATAACATTGAAAATATATTATTCCCATATTAGAAATGAGAAAACTGAAGCCAAGAGGAATTAAGTAACCATCTCAAGGTCACAAAGGTGGTAAATGTCCTGACTCCAAGTCCTGAACTTTCCCCTCCTATACCTAAACAAGGGCCAATTATATAAGATCATAGACCCAGACACAGAAGGAACCTCAGAAGTCATCTATCTAACCTTCCATTTTATAGATAGGAAACCAAGTCCTAGGAGGCAAAATCACTTTCCTGAAGTTACATAGACAGGAAGCAGAAGAGCCTGGATTGGAGTCCAGGTCCTCTCAGTACTCTTGCCCCAATACCAGCAACCATTGGTATCTATTCTTATGGCTGAGCTTACAAAATAGAATAAACTATACCCTTTAAAGAATATGAATGTTTTATTTATAATTATGTCAAACACTGACTGAGCTGTTTGGAAACATTAAGATTTCTCCTAGCATTTCAGATCCCTTCTAGCTATATTTAATATATTTTCTACCTTATTTTTGAATGGGGAAAGGTTAGAAGATAAATTTCCCTTTTTTTGAAGCTATAACGTTAACCAATTATTTGGAGCCTGCCACTTTTGTTCCCCCACCCCAGCCTGAACCTATGATTTCATTGGTGGAGGGAATTTTCAACAAGGAACATGCCTCCACCAACTGGTAGTCTTGGAGAATTACCTCAGGCATTATGTGGTAAAATGACATGTACAGGGTCATATTTGTTAACATTTTTTATACCCAAGTCTTCCCTGTATCTGAAGCTGGCTCTCTATCTACTATGTCAGGTTGCCCATCCAGTCTGTTAATAACAGACTTTTCTTACAGATAAATCCTTTGAGGCACTAATTCTTGAGTAGTTGTGGTCTGCTGACACCTAGTGCCAGTTCACCAACACAGCACTGATGAAAACCAGGGTGCCTATTCTGTAGCCTACAAAATACTGGCTTGCAGAAATTGGTTTCAAAAGGATTATTTTTCATTACTTTTAGATACTCATTCACTAACTGGAAGGATGTAGAAAAGTAAGTTTTTCCTTATCATTCTAGGATTAACATATGAAACCTATATAAGCCATGAAATGATGGTAATTTTTACATATTGCTGGTTTATTTAAATGTATTACTTATGCATTCATTAATAAATTATGAAAATACATGATGTTTGCTCATGAATATATTGAGCTTCAGGGCTGAAATGAAAGGTATGTTGTTGATTAAAATAAGCTGTGGCAAATATAGCCAGAGATAAAAACATGTTACATTTCACATAAAATTAAACTCCAAGAGTTGGGGTTTTAAGACTTTCCAATAATTGCTAATACAGTAGATAGAACATTGAATTTGAAGCCTGGAGACCTAGATTCCCATCCTGGCTCTTCCCACCCATGAGGCCTTGGAAAAGTCACTTAACCTGTTAGATATGGTGAAAGACCTTTGATTTTACTGGTAGAGGGAAGCCCCAAGCAAAGAAACTCCCTCTACAAGTGCAGGTTGGCAAATTCTCTGCAACTTATAGTCTTAGAGCAGTGAGAGGTTAAATGATTGCCCAGGGTCACATAGTCAGTAGGTATCAGAAGCAAGGCTTGAACCCAGGCTTTGAGGATTGCTCATTTACCATACCAGCTCCCTCTCATTTCCTTTTTTCCCCCCTTCTAATCATGTCTAAGTATGTGTCATCATGTCACAATGGCAACACCAACAATAAATATCTAGAGGCAGCATGGTGCAATAGAAAAATGCTAGCAGAAATTTAAATTTGTATCCTGGCTCTGACTACTTAATTTACTAAGTTGTGTAATTCTGGCAAATCATTTAACCAGAGTCTTGGTTTTCTCATTTAGAAAATGTGGGGAATGCTACTTAAAATTCCCCTCCCATGTACTACATATTCTAAAGTAACACAAGTTATTTTTTATGAAGGGTGAGCTAGGGCTCCTTATACTATGCTGCTTAAGAGCCAAAGTCAACCTAGCTAACTTCAGATACAAAGATGAAAATTGTCATAGTCTCTGCGCTCTGAAAACTTGTTTTCTACTGGAGTGCTAAGGCTAGGACATTGAAACTTAAACACTGGAGAACATATGCATTCCCTATAGAACACTGCCCTGACCAACATATCTTCACAATAGTTATTAATATACTGTTTGTTGTTATTATCAATAAATTAGAGCCAAACCTTACCGCAAAGTCATGAAACATAGTTATAACATTGAGGCCATTCCTACCCCTCACTGCAACATTCTTTCATCTAATATCATGTTGTTTCAAGCCTAATCAATGTAATTAGTTGGGGTAACCATATGTTTCTTTCAACAGTACAATCATTCATTCATCAGAGAGTAAATTATGCTTGCACAAGAACCCAATTAGTGGTTAGTCCCACATGCATCTTAAACTCAACACGTTCAAAACAGAAATTGTTCTCCCCACCCCACCCCCACCTGCCTCTGCTCTAGACTTCCTGTTTCTTTTGGAGGGATCACTAATCTTACAGTCACCGAGGTTCACTTTGAAGTGTCTTTGACCTTTCCTCTCCTTATTCACTCACCCAATGCCAAGAATTATCAATTCTACTTCCACTCCATTTCTTCCATCTATCCCCTCCTCTCTATTCACATAGCCACCACCCTAATTTAGACACTCTTACCTCTCACCCAGACTATTACTTCTTCTTCTTCTTGTTCTGCAGTTGTTGTCTGACTCTTCATGACCCTGTGGACCATAGCATGCCAATGCTGTCCATAGGGTTTTCTTGGCAAAAATACTGGAGTGGTTTGCCATTTCCTTCTCCAGTGGGTTTGCAACAGCCTACTAACTAGACTTCTAGCTTCTCCTCTTTCCACTATATCCTCTACGCTGCTGCCAAAACAATTTTCCTAAAACACAGCTCTTATTACATCACCTCCTCACTCTACCTCCCCCCACACCCCCCAGAATGTTCAGTGACTTTCAATTGCCTGTAGGATATAACACAACCTCCTCATCTTGGTATTACACTCACTACAATTTAACTCTAACCTTTGTAGACTTATTTCCCATTAATCCCTTTCCCACACTCTAAATACCTTCAAATTGGACTACTTGTACCACACTCCCCATGTAACATATCATAACCACCGCTGTGCCTTTGTATGACAATATACAGTACTTTCTTCTCATCTCTGCCATGCAGAATCTCTAGCTTCCTTCATTATCGAGCTCATGCATCCCTTCATATGAGAAATTTTTCCTGAGCTTCCTATGTTAAAGCTCTTTTCTTTCAAAAATGTTCTTGTATTTACTTATTTGTTATTTATTTGTACTCCTTAGAACAGGAGTTCTTAACCTGTGGTCCATGAACTTTGTATGTATGCATATGTGTGTGTGTGTGTGTATACACATACACACAATGTTTCTTTTGTAATCCTATACATCTTATTTTATGCATTTAAAAATATTATTCTGAGAAGCGGTACTTTGGTTTCACCTGATTAAGGAGTGAATGACATGAAACTGGTTATAATTCCCTGACCTAGAAGGATGTAAGTTCCTTGAAGGCAGAGACATTTAACTTCTGTCTTTGTATTCCAAGTACCTAACACAATGATATCCTTAATAAATTCATGATTGGGTAGCATTTTTGAATATACCATCTGTGATGAGTAAAATCCTTTTTGGAGTACAGGCTCTGATGTTTGGAGTAGAGAAAACCAGGTGAGCCCACCTCAGTGCATTCCCTTATATCTATCCCTTCGCCTTGTCCTAGGTCCCTCACTCAAATATTAAATACATACACATATGTGTATGCATATGTATACAGATGCATACGCATATACATATATGACATCTAGGGAGTGACTGCTCAGATTGAGATTATAAATGTCTCTTTTCCTTTTCATTTCTCTTGTTTAATCACCTTGCGCTGACTTAGAAGGTAGTTGCAGATAGCAGCACCTGTTTTGGATGTTCTTGGGGTGCTTGCCTCCACAATGGATTCTGGACATTTTTCCAGACTCTGTTGGTTGTCAATTTCCATCACCTACAGAACAATATACAAAAAAATGTCAGTGGTCACTAATATATGTTAATGCTAATATATATATTTGCTACAACACTAAAAGAAACAATGGCAAAGAAATGGACAGAAATTGCAGTGGGGAAATGGGGAACACTTGTGGATACCTGCTGACTGGATTCAACCAGTTGCCATTTAAACCAGATATTTTTCTGTGTTAATTCCTTTCACTTGCAGAGAAGAAAACACAACTCCTGAGGAATGATACAATTAAAAGCAACTGGCTTCTCTTGAATGGTGGGAGCAACACACTCTGTCTTTGGTCAGCAAGGATCATCCCACCTAGCCTGGTCACTAGGCTCAGTAGTCTCTGGTCATTCTTTTCTAGCAGCAGCTGAATTGTTAACCTGGGTGGTGGCGCAAGCTTTAGCAACTGCCTCTTCTTGCAGGCTTTGAAGAAAAGATCAGAAAAGCATGAATTTCTTGCTGAGTAACTACAAATTCCTAATGAATACAAGATAGAGACGACCCAACTTTTTACCCCCTAGTGTACACTGTCTCCACTTTATTTCCATGGACTTTCTCTCAGAACTCTATATATAGTCCTAGAAGCCTACACAAATTTCATTGACCCAATGGCCTTGAATCCTGAGAAAAGGTCTCTATCTCTCAGGTTACCTTGATGCAGGGCCAGATTCTGATACAGGTTTAAAACTGATTGATTGATAGAATAGTATTTTGTATCCATAGAGGCCAGTCCTATCTAAACTTTGTCCTGTGGATTGTAGGCACTCAGGAAATGTTTGTTGAAGGGAACTGAACTAAGATAATGGCAATGACAAAGATGACAATTACCCATGTTTCAATGTTACTGAAGCTTGTTTTTTTTAATTAATTTTTTTCAACTAAAAAGTGTTCTTTTTTTCCTTTCCGCCTCCATGCTACCATTCCCCCCGCCACCTCAACACACACTGAAAAACAAGGAAAAGAAAACCCTTGTAACAAATAGGCACAGCTAAGCAAAACAAATTCCCACACTGGTTATGTCCAAAAAAATCTGTTTCATTCTGTATCACCTCTATATGGAAGTAGGTAGTATATATTCATCCTGGCTCCTGTGGAATCATGGTTGTATTGATTATAGTTCTTAAGTTTTCTAAAGTTGTTCATTTTTACAATGTCTTGTTATTGTACAGATTGTTCTTCAGGCTCTTTCCCCTACACCCTGAATCAATTCATACAAACTTTCTCTGAAACTCTATCTTTCATTCTTAGAGCATAATAGTATTTTATTACATTCACATATCATAATTTGTGTAACAATTCCCTAATAAAACACCCCTTTGGTCTCCAATTTTTACCTACTATGAAAAGAATTGCTATTACTTTTGTACATATGGCTCTTTTTTCTCTTTCTTCGGTCTCTGTGGGGTATAGGACCAGTAGTGGTATATCTAGGTCAAAGGGTATGCACAGTTTAGTAACTTTTTTGGAACAGTTCCCAACTGCTGTCCAAAATGACTGTACTAATTCACCAGGAAGGGAATAAGCATTTACATAGTGCCTACTATGTGTCAGGCACTGTGCTAAGCACATTAAAATATCTTGAGACTTACAACAACCCTTCAAGGTCAGTGCTGTTATTATCCCTATTTTACAGTTGAGGAAATTGAGGCAAACAGAGGTTAAGGGACTTGCCCAGGATCACATAGCTAAGTGTCTGAGACTGGATTTGAACTTGGGTCTTTCTGACTCCAGGTCCCAGCACACCATCGGCTGCCACAGATTTATCAGTAATGTAGCAAAGTGACTGTTTTTCCTCAGCCCTAAAACAATTAACATTTACCGTTTCCCCTCGATTTTGTCAATGTAATAGACATGAGGCAGAACTTCAGAGTCGCTTTAAACTGCATTTCTCCAGTTATTAGTGATTTGGAGTATTTCCCCATATAGCTATAGATAGCTTGGATTTTTTTCCCTTTAAAAATAACTGTTCATATCCTTTTAACATTTCTCAGTTGCAAAATGGTTATTATTCTTATAAATTTGAACCGTTTCCTTATATGCCTTGGAAACGTGACCTTTACCAGAGAAAGTTGCTCTAAAGATTCTTTTTCATTTCTATTAACTGTTTCCTTTTTATTCTTAGCTACCTTGGTTTTGTTTGTACAAAACTTTTAAAATTCTATGTAATCAAAATTGTCCATTTTATCTTCTGTGATCCTTTCTATCCCTTGTTTGATTATGAACTCTTCCCCCATCCACAAATCCAAAAGGTAATTTCTTTTTTTAACTCTAATTTGTTTATTACGTGACCTTTTATATCCAAGTCATGTATTCATTTGAAGCATATAGTCTGAGGTGTTGTTCTAAGCATAACTTCTGCCAGACTGTTTTTCACTTTTCTCAGTAATTTTTGTCAACTAATGAGTTTTACCCCAGTAACAGAGTCTTCGGATTTATTGAAGACTAGATGACTAGTTTTGTTTGCTGAAACTTGAGTTTTGTATAGTGAGAGGGTAGTCCTTCCAGGACAACTTCCTTCTGCTTAGAATTTTCCTAGGTGGTCCCCAAATCAGGGACCACTGATTAGAATGTAAGTTGGAAGGGACCTAAAAGGTCACCTACTCTAATACCTAAACAGGAACCATTTCTATGACATCCCTGACAAGGCGATGAACACAGAAATGCCTGTTTCTTCTTGGAAACTTCCAATGAGGGAGAACTCACTACCTCCTTAGATGGTCCGTTTCACTTGTAGATAATTCTGTTACAAAGTTTTTCACTTGAAGCACAGCCAAGATGGTAGAGTGGTAGGAAGCAATGTAATGAGCTCCTCTCCACAAAGTCTTCCTAACAGTTCTAGAAAATGGACAAGACCAATCTTGATAGGGAAATCCAGAAAAAAGTCACGTGAGACCTTTGTCCAGCCCAGCTCAGCATAGGGAGATAGGCAGGGAGATTTGTGGATGCTGGAGATGAGCTCAGGCGAGGAGCATGCTATATTGTGATACACTCAGAGCACTCTAGCATCCAGTGAGAGACTGTACTCCAGCACTGTACTCCATATCCTAGGCCCACACTAGGGGTCTGTGATTAGGAAAACTGCCACTTGGAAGCTTTGTCTCTTACTACTCAGTCCCAGGTCACAGATCCTGGTCAGAGTAAAAGGGAATGTGCACATGGCAGTGATGTTCTAGGGTAAGGAGGCCCTGGACAGTGTTTCGAGAAAGGAAGAAGTTCAGAAGCTAGCTGAAGAGCAGCAGTGGTGTGGCTCAGACCTCAGGTGCAAAGCAAAGTTTCACTTCTAACTTCTAGCCCTATTTGCAGAAGAATAACCAAAGAGGACATCCAAGACTGAAGAAGAACCTACAATTCTACCGCCCTGAGCCAACAGAGCTTTTAGTTGGCTGATAACGGCAAAGTCCAGCAGCAGTCTACTCTTGCTCAGACCCAAACCCAGGTCAGAAACTTACAGAGCACAGAACATGGGGGCAGCACCAACTTTGCTCTAAATCAGTTCACTAGAGGAACACTGAAAGCTTGTAGATCCCCAGCCTGTCACTGAGACCCTGGAATAACACAACATTCAATACTTCAAGAAAGCAGCAACAGCACCTTCCCCTTAGGAGTGCTGTAGAACCTAGCCCTAACGTTAAGTTCAAAATCTGGAAGAATGGGCAAACAAAAAAGTGAGCCATTATGGTAGCAGAGACACTCAAGACATAAATGCAGGAGAGAATGAATCTAAAACACTTATAAGCATTACTTCAGAGAAAAATACAGCTTGGGCATGAACTCAACTATAATCCTCAGAAGAGATGAAACAAGAGTTTAAAAATGTTTTTATGAATGGAGTGAAGAGGAAAAATGGAAAAGAAATGAAAGCTATGGAAGAAAAATTTGGAAAGGGAAGATAAGCAATGAAATCAGCTGGCCAATTCAACTCAATTCTAAAAACTAAGTCAACATTTATTAAGTTTTATTAAGTATTTATTAAGTATTATTCTGGTCAAGCACTATGTTAGTTGCAAACTGTTCAATGGGTTGAAGTTCTCCTCAGAAGATACATTTTTAAAGATAAGTATAATCTTGGTGTGGGGTATTCTGAGAACAATGATACTGTGGGGTTCAGGAAGATTCACTGAGAAGCCCAAGCTAAGTCTTGAAGGAATAAAAGGATTCTGAGAGGCAGAGATAAGGAATACCAGGTATAGGAGATAATATATGCAAATGTTTGGAGTCAGGAAATGGAGTATTGAGAGAACATCTAGTATTCTGGTTTGGAGGGAACAGAACTTTTGAAGATTAGTATGAAATAAGGCTATAAAGTCAGCACAGATAGATTGTGAAGGATCTTAAACTGGAAGGGACTAGAATTTGTATTTTATCCTAGAATCATTCTGTGGAGAACCCTGGAAGGTTTCTAAACATGGGAATATTATGGTCAGATCTCCAAGGTCATCCAACAGGAGTTGCATAGTAAACATTAAGTGATATTGAACTGGAGTTTAGAAGAAAGAAATTAGACATATGTGTGTATGTACCTACATATTATATGTGTGTGTGTGTGTGTGTGTGTGTAGAGAGAGAGGGAGACCTGGGAATCTCATATGCAAAAAAATGATGGTTGTCTTCAATAGAAATAGGGAACTGTGAAGGAGATAGGGGAGAATGTGATGAGTTTTGTTTGGACACATTGTTTGAGATGATAGGACATAAAGAGCAGGTTTAGGAGGAGACAAAGGAGGTTATAATAACAGAAATTTCAGAGTTCAAAATCATGGAGGTGGCACAGGTATGAACAGGGTGAGCAAGAGAGTCAACATATGGCCATTTCTGTGGGTAGTTGTGAAGATATAACACTATGCAAATTGAGGAGGATGATGAACTGAGTGTCAGGAGTATTTGAGGAAATATCAACATGTATACAGAAGTCTCCAAGTATGAGGGCAAGGGTTGGGATGGAAAGACTGTGAACTAGATATTCAACACCTTAGAAAATGAAGTAAAATGACCTGAAGGCTGGTAAGAAGACTGATTAGAACCAGACTGTATAAAGGTTTGTAGACAAATGGAGTGAATCCCAAAGGACCAATTGTTGAATGATGGTAATGGAGAATCTGGAAGAGGTGATAGGGAGCAAGAAACATGCATCCTTCATCTACCTGTCTAATAAGTCTAGGGATACTAGAAGAGTAACTAACACTGACAAGGATGACCAGGAGAGAGCTAGATTTATGAGAACACAAAAAGATGGAAAGAACTTAAGAAGAGATCTAGAATGGAGCCAAGTTTTATACTAATGGAACTGGAGTTCCAGCGGGCAGTGGAATAAAGTGACTGCAGCATGGAAGGATTTAGCTGGATGAGGATGAGGTACTGGGAGAAGTAGGTATGAATCTGCTAAACATGAAACCAGGTACCTGTTCTTCCAGAGTCCTGTGATTATAGAGGACAGCATTAGTATGGCTCTTCTCTCTATGAATACCAGGTCAAAAGATAGAGTTGTTCAGCAGGTTTGTATGCAATGAGTGTTTAGCCTTGCAGGACTACCAAACTTTATGCTTTACTAACATAGCCTTCAATAACTGAGAGCTGCCTTCGTGTTGTCATGTGACAGTGGAGTAGAACTTTAGTGAATGACTTAGCATAGCTTACCCAGGTATTATAGATATATAATGAACCAGGCCCAGAATTGAATAGGATGAGATAAAGGTTGAGTGCATTTGGGATCCTATGTGACACCTTTTAATGGCACCTGGCCTCCCATTTCTGAAAAAGCCCAACTTTTTAATACCAATATTCTTCTGGTGATCCAACGTGGCTGCCTGTCACAGGATCTCAGAAAAATCAGAATTGCAAGTGAACCTAAGGATAACGGAAAGAGGGAGAGATGTTGTGAAATGTGGGCTGTAGCATATGTCTGACAAAGATTTGCATGAGAAAAGTAGAATGAAAGATGTTGTTCATGTGAGTTACAATTGGGTTTAAGGCCTGGTCTTTCAGAAAGAAATCTACCCAGCACACCCCAAGATAACTAGGTAGGATTCAGCCATCAAAATTTCCCTTCCTTTGGGCAGAACACCCTCAGGTAAGGGCATGATACCCCATGTAGAGGGGAGAGGAGAGGTGTTGTGAAAAAAGTGCTTTGAAAACAATAAAGTGCTATATCAATGTAAACTATTTCTTTAAAAAAAATTGTTGTGTATTCTGTGTGGAAGGTATATTGCTAGGGGAAGGACACCTACTGGCCTCAAGGACCTAACAATCCAGTCGGAAGGTAAAACATGTAGATACTTAATTTTTAAAAATAAAGAATTACAAAGTGGGATGAGATTTATGTAGATAACCTCAATGGGGATGAGGTTTGGGGTGGAGGGGAGGAGAGTATATAGCATTAAACTTCACAAAGTGGAGTTAGAGGATTCCTAGTGCTGGGGTTATAGGACCTGGAGCCCTAAAATGAAAAGACCATGTCTTGGAAAGCAATCCAGTCCCTGAATTTTCCCATACTTTTCAGCAGCCCAGATCACAGGTGCTTCCATCAGAGGCAAGTGGCCCACACCAGGACACTTAGATCACCTAATCAGCCTACTTGATAGTCCTTTCACTGTTGCATCTGGCCCACCCTAGACTACTTACCACTCTGTCCCTTTTGTAGGTAAGCATCAGTCTCATCTCCATTAAGTTGCAGATTCCTTAAGAAGCAGTGCAATAAACCTAGTCATTTGACTGGAAGAAGGTTTGAGTGTGTGAATTCATCCCAGGCAGACACTGCCCTGACATTTTGAGATTCCCAGCAACCCCAAACTACACCACCAGAACAGACATTTCCTCAGATATATCCCTCTCCCCCACCTCCTTACCTCATCACTAGTAGGGAGAGAACATTTCCTCTGATTTTGAGATTCAAAAATGCATCTTGTTGGAATCCTTTCTCCCTCTCTTCTTCCTTTCACCAAATAGCTGTATAGCTCAGGGGTCAAGGTGACCGGGCAGTGCTCTGGCCTGAGCCTGGCAGCTAGACTGGCTGACTGGATCATCCTTTAGACCAGGGGAGCAAACCAAGACCAGCTCTCCCCAAACTCCATTTAATATATGGGAGGGGAGAGGCAAAAAGAAAGAGGGTTGCTTACCCTTAGGGCCCAATCTGTTCTTAATTGGCCTGTTTTGCATGGCATCTCTTCATTTCAGAACATACTATACGATTCATTTCCATTAAGATCTCTCTTTTTTTTTTTCAGAACACTTCCTCCAAGAAGCATTTTTGGATTTGATTCCAGATTAGACCTTACCTGGCTCATTACTTTTATTATTTCTAGGTTTATCTTCCTGATTATACATATGTATGCTAAAAATTAAGAAAATGTGGTGTTGTGCTGGATGACCGAGGGATTGCTGGAAACACAGAACTGTTTTAGCTCAGTTTTCCTGTTTACAGAACAGGGATGATCACTTCTGAGAGCCTAACTCTGAGGTTCCTGGATGACGTGAGTAAGATATGACATTATCTACCCTACTAGGATGCTGTGAAGGTTTTTGATAATTCTGTAATGGAACTTAGGAAAAAGTACTAAATAAAGTCTGATATTCTTAGTGCTTTAAGGAGTTAGGCAAGCAGTAAATCTGATTAAATAGTGGGAAAGGGGGCTGCAATAATAAGTATTCTTTCAAGAGTAATATGATGATTTATTTTTGTTTAGAAAGGACCTCAAACTTCTGTTATTTTTTTAAAAAAGATAAAATATGATTATCTAAAAATTACATTTTCCAAGCTTATATGTTGTATGCATACATATTATGTATGTACATATAGACTATTGCATATTATACATTGTATATGTGCATATATGATATAGCATATTGTATGCACATATAATATATAAGCCTGAAAAAGTCAGTTTTAGACAATCATATTTTATCTTATTTTTATAATATTCAGAAATTCCAAGTCCTCTCTACACAAAAGTAAATAAATAATCAAATTGCTCTTGAAAGAATATTTATTATTAGAGCACCCTTTCCCACTTTTAATCAGCTTTACTACTTGCCTGAGGTTTGATCAAATACTATATGCAAAGTGCTGTTAGAGACTTAAAATGCTATGTTAGCATTCGACTACATATGAGCAATCATATTACTGTATATACTATTGTGGTGCTTTTTAAAAAATACATATGAACTCCACAACTGCTTAGAAACAGGATTTCTCTAAATTGAACCATTTATTTAACAAGCATTTAGTAAATGCCTACTATATGCCAGGCATTGTGAGAGAGACATCCTTACTCTGCAGAAAACACAGAGTTGAATTAATTCTCAGCAATCAGTTTTGGAAGAATTTATTTAAGTTGGCAAGGTTTGGCTATGGAGCCATTACATTATCACTCCAAATGCTTGCATTTGAAAATGAATTCTATGACAGTAAATGAAATAGTATAACTGTATTAAAAAACAAACAAAGATAACTTCGGCTTTAAAAAAAAGAGGAAGAATTAAGAGACAACAGGGATCGTTTTGCTTTTGTGATCTACAAGCCACTTTTCTTTTTTGGCTAAATTAGTTGACAACTATTGGAAGTGAATCAACACCAAGATCCTGGTGGGGGGGGGGGAACAACTAACTGCCTTCCAGAGCACTCATTTCATAACATTCATGTGATTAGCGTCAAAGCTGCTAATAGGACGGGCAGCTTCCTTGGCGGCCTCTGAAGCTCACATGACCTCAAGCTCAGTACTTTCTGTCTACATTTTGTGCCAAGTCTTACAGAAATGTTCAGGCAGTTTATCTAAGTCTCCAGAAAGCAACATCAGCATTTCCATGAAGATAAACTTTGTTCCAGAAAAGTGAAGAGTGCTGATGACAGCATAGTTTGTATGCCATATAGATATATATGTGTACACACCCACACCGGGGGCGGGGAGGGGGAGAGAGAAAATGAGAGAGAGAGAGAGAGAGAGAGAGAGAGAGAGAGAGAGAGAGAGAGAGAGAGAGAGAGAGAGAGAGAGAGAGAGAGAGAGAGAGAGAGAGAGAGATTGTGATTTATCAAGGTCCATCAGGAGGTAGGTGCACCGAGGGGAACGTGGTAGGATTAAGTGTGACAGTCCAGGTTAATGGCAGGCCACAAAAAATAACCCTTGAAAGGTAAACAAACACTTCACCTGGAGAGAGAGGCCTGACTGGCTGATTGTAGTCAGTCGGATTCTCTTCCCAGGAGCAGGTGGTGGCCCGGGCTGCCCCCCTTCCCCTGGCAGCCCACGCCTTCCCTGGTCCCAGATGACTCAGCTCTCTTGACCTTTATGTTGTGAGCTGCAAAGATGAATCGGAAAAGAGAAACTGAACTCATTTCCCGGAGTGATAGTTCCTAGCTAGAGAGGCTGCCTTCAGAGTCTCCGCCCTGGCTGGGAGGAGGGGCGAGGAAGGAAAAGCACAGAGGCTGAAAAGGCCAGGGAGGAATCCCCTGAGGCCACATGGGGAATCCCAAACCTTTCCTTTCTTCCCCATCCCCTGCAAACACCTATTGCTCCTCACCTCCTGCCAACCTCCCCACCCAATGCTTCCGTGGATGCTCATTTCCCAAAAGCTCTCTCTACTTCCATCAACCCACCCATGCCACCTGCTTTCTGTTCCCCAGCATATAACACCGGGTGCTCACCGGCACCCTTCCTTCTCCCAATCCTGCGAAGCGGTGGGGAAGTGCAACAGGTACCACCGTAGGGCAACCTAGGAAATGTGGTCCCTCGCTGGCTCAAGGTTGCGCCTTCAGGCGGGCCAGGGAGCGGCTCGAGACTACAACTCCCGGTAGGCAAAGCGAACCATCTTGTTTTTCCCCCGCAATTCTATAGTTCTTTACTTTCCCCTTCCTCTTCTTCCTTCGCTGGGGCCCTGAGCCGCACTGCCTCACGGCACTCGTAGTCCTGACCCGGCCCAAGCCTTCATTATCCCGAGGTCAGACGCACAAGCTGGTAGACTCTAATTCCCAGGGGGCAGAGCGAAGGCGGCGCCTGCGCGTTCTCCTCGGGAGGGCGTGTGTGTATGTCTGCGTGTGAGAGAGGGGTAGGGAGAGAGTGAGAGAGAGAGAGAGAGAGAGAGAGAGTGAGAGAGTGCGGGGTAGGGTGTAGGCCGTTACGTTCGGGGCAACGGCTACGACAGTGAAGAAGCAATTAGAGAAGCGGCGTCCAGTGCTTCCGCCTTCACTTCGGTGTCGGTGGGGGGGGCTGATAAGGAGAGGAAAGCGAATCTCCAGTCAGGCGAGCCGGGGCCTGGGCCGAACTGATCGGGGCCGGTGCGGGTCAGGGCTATGAGCCTTTGAGGGGTCGCCCGGGGCGCGGAGCGAGACCCGAGAGCGGAGAGCGATGTCTCAGCCGCCGCCGCCACCGCCTCCCCCTCCTCCACCTCCTCCCCCCGAGGCGCCGGCGGCGGCTCAGGGGGGGCTCGCGAAGCGGAAGGACCGACGCATCCTGTCCGGGAACTGCCCGGACCCCAAGTGCCAGGCGCGTTTGTTCTTCCCGGCCTCCGGCTCGGCCAGCATCGAGTGCACGGAGTGCGGGCAGCGGCACGAGCAGCACCAGCTGCTGGGGGTGGAGGAGGTGACCGACCCGGACGTGGTCCTGCACAACCTGCTGCGGAACGCGCTGCTCGGGGTGACGGGGGCCCCCAAGAAGAACACGGAGCTGGTGAAAGTGCTGGGCCTCTCCAACTACCACTGCAAACTGCTGTCGCCCATCCTGGCCCGATATGGGATGGACAAACAGACGGGCAGGGCCAAGCTGCTCCGAGACATGAATCAGGGCGAGCTGTTTGACTGCGCCCTGTTGGGCGACCGCGCCTTTCTTATTGAGCCCGAGCATGTCAACACTGTGGGTTACGGCAAGGACCGATCTGGAAGTCTGCTCTACTTGCATGACACCCTGGAGGACATTAAGAGGGCCAATCGGAGTCAGGAGTGCTTGATTCCAGTGCATGTAGATGGGGATGGGCACTGCTTGGTGCATGCTGTGTCCCGGGCCCTTGTGGGCCGGGAGCTATTCTGGCATGCCTTGAGAGAGAATCTTAAACAGCACTTTCAGCAGCATCTGGCTCGATATCAAGCCCTCTTTCACGACTTCATTGATGCTGCTGAGTGGGAGGACATTATCAACGAATGTGACCCCCTTTTTGTGCCACCTGAAGGTGTTCCCTTGGGGTTGAGGAACATCCACATTTTTGGCCTTGCCAATGTCTTACACCGGCCTATTATTCTCCTGGATTCCCTCAGTGGCATGAGAAGCTCTGGGGGACTATTCTGCCACTTTTCTTCCGGGGCTTATCCCTGCAGAGAAGTGCACTGGTAGAGATGGCCATTTGAACAAACCAATCTGCATCGCCTGGAGTAGCTCTGGCAGAAACCACTATATTCCTTTGGTTGGCATAAAAGGGGCTGCTTTACCCAAACTGCCCATGAAGCTACTTCCTAAAGCATGGGGAGTGCCTCAGGACCTCATTAAAAAGTATATTAAACTTGAGGAGGATGGTGGGTGTGTGATTGGAGGAGATAGGAGTTTGCAGGACAAATACTTACTGAGGCTTGTGGCTGCTATGGAGGAAGTCTTCATGGACAAACATGGTATTCATCCTAGTTTAGTTGCAGATGTTCATCAATATTTCTATAGAAGAACTGGGGTAATAGGAGTTCAACCTGAAGAAGTAACAGCAGCTGCAAAAAAAAGCAGTGATGGATAATCGCCTTCACAAGTGTTTGATCTGTGGTGCCCTTTCTGAACTTCATGTCCCCCCTGAGTGGTTGGCTCCAGGAGGGAAATTGTACAACCTGGCCAAAAGTACCCATGGACAGCTGAGGCCTGACAAAAATTATAGCTTCCCTTTGAACAATCTGGTGTGCTCATATGATTCAGTGAAGGATGTTCTGATACCAGACTACAGTCTGAGTAATCTAACAGCTTGTAATTGGTGCCATGGCACATCAGTGCGAAGAGTTAGAGGTGATGGTTCTGTTGTGTATTTGGATGGGGACAGAACTAATACCAGATCCACCGGAGGTAAATGTGGCTGTGGATTCAAACATTATTGGGAAGGTAAAGAATATGACAATCTGCCTGAAGCTTTTCCTATTACTTTGGAATGGAGTGGAAGAGTGGTCAGAGAAACAGTATATTGGTTCCAGTATGAAAGTGATGTGTCTTTGAATAGCAATGTTTATGACGTTGCAATGAAACTTGTCACCAAACATTTCCCTGGTGAATTTGGGAGTGAAATCCTAGTGCAGAAAGTTGTCCACACTATATTGCATCAGACAGCCAAAAAGAATCCTGATGACTACACTCCTGTAAATATTGATGGTGCTCATGCCCAGAGAGTTGAGGATGTGCAACATGGGCAAGATTTGGAGTCCCAACTTCCAACTAAAATTATTCTTACTGGGCAGAAAACAAAAACTTTGCACAAGGAGGAATTAAATATGAGTAAAACTGAAAGAACTATTCAACAGAACATTACGGAACAAGCTTCTGTGATGCAGAAACGGAAAACTGAGAAGTTAAAACAAGAACAAAAAGCCCAACCTAGAACTGTTTCCCCAAGCATCATTCGTGATGGGCCTTCATCTGCTCCTGCTACTCCTACCAAGGCCCCTTATTCACCAGTATCTACTAAGGAGAAGAAGATCCGTATAACAACAAATGATGGGCGACAGTCAATGCTTACACTCAAACCCTCAACAACCTATTTTGAACTTCAGGAAAGCATAGCTAGAGAATTTGATATTCCTCCATATTTACAATGTATTCGGTATGGTTTTCCTCCTAAAGAGCTAATGCCTCCCAAAGCTGGAATGGAAAAGGAGCCTGTGCCCTTACAACATGGTGACAGAATAACAATAGAAATCCTAAAAGGTAAAGAGGAAGGTGCTCAGCCCAGTGCAGCACACTCAGCACACACTGTGAAACATGAAGATATTGCTGTTACTAGCAAAATATCTTCTAAGGAATTTCAGGAGCAGACTGACAAGGAAATGTACTCCTTGTGCCTTCTGGCAACATTAATGGGTAAGATCAATTTATATTATGTAGCATATAGCTTCTCTGTAAAATGAAGAAAGTGTTTCCCCCCTTCTGTTCTTGAGAATTGTGAGTCTGTGAAAATCAGACCACGTATGCTAGAAAAAAATGGCTTGCTTTAGGTTTTTGACATGTCTGGGTAAATATGCCAGATTGCGAAGACGTGCTTTTGCTGTCGTTTGATTCCTTAGAACAACATAATTTATACTTGCAGCGTTTTTTAAATACCATGTCTGGCCTTTCATTTTCTTCGAAGGCTTAGGTGGCAGTTGAGTCTACCCACCTTTCCTCCTTTGATTTTTGTTTAAATTTATTGTGTTCCTGTGTTTAGGTCAGGTGATTCAGGACTTCCTGTCTGATGAATTGCAGTTTCTGGTGTTGATATTTCCACCCCACCCCCACCTAATTCAATGCTGATGTTGTCTTAATTCCTTTTCCTGTTCTTACCTCCTGACGTACTCCGGTTCACATCTTTTTTTAGTAGCTGTAAGTGCCTTCATTGGCCTCAGTGAATCTGTCTTGGATTGTAATAGAGTGCCATAGAAAGAGGTGGTAGTGATGGGATTGTTTTTGAAATATATTAGAGAGAATGGGTGTGACTTTTCCCTTCCATAGATGCAGCTGAAATTCATGAAAAAACCTCTTGTTACCAGTGAAATGTAATTTAAAGTTTTAGACAGTTTTGTATTCTAGCCAGTTTGAATAGGAATATTTATGACATTGCAATGAAATGTTGCCAAACAAATTTAGACTTTTCTTATATTTTTATTAAAATTAGTAATTTGACCAGAATACATGGTGATATGATATGAAAAAAAAACAGATGTAGACACCAGTAGTTCCTGATTTTTTTTTTTTTGAAAGATTTCTGATTTCCACATGGATAGTGTCATAAGTGGTTGCATTCATCAAAATGCTACTAAATGGCAGTGTTTCTTTACTTTCTTAGGTAAAGACTCAGTTTTCTTTCTGAACTACTAATTTTGGTGTTTTAGTAGTTATGGGAACTAAAATCTTTTTAATGTATTGATTTAGTGGACAATATTAATTCAGAAATTTCATTTACAATGCAAACTCCTCTATAAACCAACTCATGATCTTATAAAATTACCTAGGCAATCACTTTGTCTTAGTTTGTCCCTGCCCTGCAAATTTGTGGTGATATTACAGAAAGAATTTTATTTGAATGAATGTAGGGAATGTAAATTTTTGAGTTAGAGCTAAACCTCTTTAAATCAGTTATTTTGTTTACATAAAACAAATGTTAGTTAAATGTGGTATTATTGTTTATAAACATCCTCTTCTGTGAATGCTTTATTTTCATAAATATAGACACTTAAGTTTGTAGATTTGTAACTGAAAGGGATTTTAAACATTATCTACTCCAAACTTCCTAATTTTATGTATGAGGAAACTGAGGCTCAGACAGGGTAAGTGATTTTCTCAAAATTGTAGTTACAAGTGGCAGAGACAGAATTTGAACCCGGATCTAGTATTCCTTCTGCTGACCTTTGCTTAAGAGGCCATTTATTATAACTGTGTTTAAACACAATGTAAGATATTAATAAAATGTGACATTTTTTGAAGTGTGTTGTTTATAATTTTGAGTTCCTTTTTTTTTGTTTTAGAGAGGCAATTGGAGTTAAGTGACTTGCCCAGAATCACACAGCTAGTGTTATGTGTCTGAGGCCACATTTGAACTCAGGTCCTCCTGACTCCAGAACCGGTGCTCTCTGCACTGCACCACCTAGCTGCCCATGTAATTTTGAGTTCTGATCCTAACTTTGTCATTAGCTGTAGCTTTGAACTTGTGTCTCAAATTTTCTTACCTGTAAAATGAAGCATTTGGACTAGGTGATATCTAAGGTCCCTTCCAGTTCTAACATTCTGTGTTTATCTTGAGTATCTATTCGGCAAAGGATGGAGAACACTTGGTACCTGGACTGAAGAGACTATTAAATGATGGAGCTCAGGATGGAGACAGAGTATGAAGGATGTTTTGTTTCTTAAAGGACCATAACTAAGTAAAGCTGGTGATAATTAAGAAAAATACCTTATGGTGCTTCTGGCACTTTACTACTTCATTTTA